TCTCTCCTGCCTCTTCTGCTTCTCTTGGTGACTGCCTCAATACTCCTCCCATGGCCCACAGAAGTAAATAAGATAGTTTGCAACAATGTAACAACTGCAGGTGCCCCATCTGCAGGGCAATCCTAATGGTGGGAGGGCAGAAAAGCCTGAAAAAGCATTTACCCTACAGGTGGTGTCACAGGGACACCAGCAGAATGGAACAGGAGAGGGAAAGAGAAGCAGTGACCATGAGAGAATGTCGGAGAGACCAGAAAGACTGAAGATTTGCTGGGGGCTGGAAGGCCTCCCAGCCTCCAGGCCTCCCCAGCACCCCTGCCTGCTGTGTACCTGGTAAACCCAATAAAAGCCTGCAAAAGCCACCAGGTGCTCCAGGACTCTCCTCTTTCACCCCATCTGCTCGAATCATAGAAATCCTGCGCGGTCCCCTCCTACCCCTTCAACGTAGAAGACCAGACGGTAAATTATAGAGTTATGATTCACACCAATGCTCTTGTTATTATACAAATTGCTTTGCTGTATGAAATATTTAGGTATTCTCTGTCTTTCAGTCCCGTTTGCTCTAAAATTTTATTATTCAGGATAAAGATATGATTATTGAGTTCTTTTTTGTGATTGTTTTATTTTTATTGTGATAACTGACATATAAATTTATATTGGTTTCAGGTGTATGACATAATGATTTGACAAAAATATATACTGTGAAAATACTTGAGTTCTAAAAGGAATAAAATTGTGTCCACATGCCCTGTGAACTATTATCAAATGAAAGCATATTCAACTCATTTAGTAATATAGTAAAATAGAAAAAATAAAATACATGCAGTGGGGCCTCCCCTGGTGGCACAGGCGATTGAGTGTAGCACTGTGAAACTGTCCGCAGCCTCTACAGTGCTGGTTCGATCCCAGTCGGCCGGTGAGGGTCCCACATGGCACAGCAGACCTCTCCTGTCTCACCCGCTGCTCCCCTCAGCAGTGTATTTCGTCAGTCAGCCTGTTCTGTTCCCCGCTCTGTCTCTGGGGAATCCTCTCACCCTACCGCACATCTGGCCTATACCCCGGTTCTTGTATAAATAAATAAATACATTTTTAAAATACATGCAGTTAAAAAATAAAATTCTAATGAAAACTTGTAGTTACCACAAAACTTACAGGCAAACTATAGAGCTGAGACATAGAGCAGGGGCCAGGATGGGATCAAAACCCAGGAGGAAAGAACACAAGGGACTATGGGAATAGTACACAGATGATTTGTGGTGGGAGATATATGGGGACTACACTTGACAGGAGAAATCAAATATTGTATGAAAATGAATGATGTAAGAAAATAAAAAAGTTTAGGGCCTCTCTGGTGATGCAGGGGTTAAAGTCTCAGCACTATCAAGTTATTGCTAGCCACTGTGGCCTGAGTTCGATCCCTGGCCAGGGAGCTGCCCACACGGTGCAGCAGACCTCTCCTGTCTCACCTGCTGTTCCCCTCAGTAGATCCACCTGTTCTGCTCCCCACTCTGTCTCTGATGAATCCTCTCACCCCCAGCACCTCTGGCCTACACCCCAGTTCTGTTGTGCATAATAAAAATAAATCTTAAAAAAAAGAAAAGAAAAAAGTTTATTTTTAAAAAATGCATACTTCTCTTTAATGCCTTTGACAAGATGCCTGTGAATGTGTGACTATCTGTATTATTCTGAAACAACTAATATAATGTCAAACCACAATTCAGTAAGTTTTTCAAAAGCCTGCAAAAAATATTTTAAAGGAGATAGTCTAATAATTTTATCCAATTTCTGTATGTGTCTCTGTGTTTGTGTGTGTGTGTGTTTGTGTATGCTTGCCCTCTATCAGCCTCACCTCTCTAGCTTGGATCTCATCAAGCCCCCTTCTCCCCTCGCTAATTCTGATCCATCCATACAGGCCTCCCTGATACTTCCAGGTATGCTCCAAGCCTTGGGACTTTACACCAGCTTTTTCTCCTCCTAGGACAATATTCCCCCCAATGTTCAGTAGCCCACCCTCCACAGACCTCAGGTCTCTCTGCTGAAATGTTGCCTCCTCAGAGAGGAATTCAGTAGAATATTCATGCTGCCAGTTACAAGCACCCCTGGCTCTTTCTATTCCCTTATCTTGTTTTAAATTTTTAGAGTCTTTTGTATTATCTGGAATTACATTAATTTTATTATTACTGCAATAAGTATATTATTTGTCCATATGCATTTATCTATAAATGGATTTATTTGCCCATTTATAGTTTATTCTCTGCCTCTCCATTAGGAAGTAATCTCTAAGGGACTTTTTTTTTTTGGTTCACTGCTCTGCTCCAGTGCTTATCTTAGTGCTTAGACATAGCAGGCACTCCATAAATATGTGTTATTTGAATAACTGAATCTCTGATGTCCTAGCCCATTCCACAAGGTTCTATTTCTCTTTTGGAGATGGTCTTTATTTGTTATCTGCCTATAAACTTGCCCATAGTTCATTTTGCTTACAGTTCTTACCTACTGAATTTTTTTTTTCTTCCATACCAACTACCCACTTCTCTAATTATGGTTAGAATAGCTTCTCTTTCTATTTTTTAAAGGCTACATCTCTGCCTTTTTACCTAAACACTCTGTTCTCTAAGTAGTCCAAATACAGCCTATCTGCCCACAATGGGAAAAGTATTTTTATTATGTTTCTTTGGAGACAAGCATACTATTCTGTAGAGAAAAAACATGTTCTCTTCTTAACTCTACCGCTACCCAGCCCTGACCTCCGCCCTGGACAAGCACAAATACTAGACGGTAGCTCTGGTGTGATATCATTTCCTGTATTGTGCTGAGGATCACTGTCTATTGCTGTGTGCGCTGCATACTCATAGAAGAAAAATGATGAGGGAAGTCCACATGCCCCTCCCCTTGACTGCAGCTGGGGCACAGTCCCCATCAGGTTAGCACAGCCTGGTGTGTCTGTGTTTTGCTGGGTGTGCAGAAGATGATGTGGAGTCAGATTAGCCCCAGTCTAGAAATTAGCCCAATTAGCACTGCTCACAAGCTAAAAAAATTAGACTACTTCAGACCATCTCAAAAATAAGTAAAACATGGAAAAAAATGTTAGAAGCCATTTCTAAAAGAGGTTTACAAACTCTTACTTCTAAGATGCATTAAACAATGGAAAAAATGATACAGTTTCCTGGTCTAGAGGGAGGCTATCACTAGGAGGCTTTCAGAGGTGACTGACATAGCACTGCTTTCCTGAATTTTATAGGAGCTTTATTTGCATAATTGCATGAAGTGATCCAGAATTGACCTCACGCATTAAAACAGGCAACAGATGGCATTAAAATGTGATGGTAAAGGGAAATGCATTATGGAAATCACTTGCAAAAGCATAGAGATCAGCCTGCTTTTCAGAGTCCATGGAATTTATAATCATTTGTTTGCTGCTACATTAATTTTTTTTTTGAAAGATGTGACCCAGGCTATTGTGAAGACTGCCATAAATGGCTTTTGTTGGTTTTGGGCTTTTTTTTTTTCCTTTGTAATTTATTTTGCTTGACTGAGGAGAAAAACAGAGCTTCCATAATCTTTGTAGTTCTTGTGATCAAATCTTTTTCATTTTTTTAATATCACTTCCATTCTCATCTGCTCCAAATATAAATCCCCAGTTGTCCTCAGACAGCCAACTCTGGTAGAGGCCAGAGAGTTCCCCTGTTGACCTGGAATTCCTATGGAGCAGCACAGATCTCAAACCTCTTTATTTACAAATCAGATTTTAATGTATGTAGAGTCAAAATAGGAGCTTAGATTACTGGGAAAAGGATAATCATCAACAAAAATGGTGTTTTCCTACGAAAGATACACAATGAACTTTGAAATACAGAAAGCAGCTTCCTTCTAAGCAAACATACAGCCTTTTCCTAAAACAGTTAATGCGATAATAAAAATACATGAAAATTTTTCTGAGAACTGCTTCATTTCCCTCTAGAGGTATCACATTCATGATCTTTTTCATTAAAAAGGGGGCTCAGACAAAACCAAATCAATAACAAAACCTAGAAATCTGACCATGGAATTGAGGTTACAAAAGGGGGAGGGGGAAAAGCAGTGGGGAGGGGTCCCAGCAGACTATGGTGCAGCACTGTGCCTTGGTGTTGGGTGTGATGCCATGATATGCACATGAAGAGGTGTGATCCTGTACCTCAGGATCACAAGTAATGGTGTAAAAATGTTACCTTATTAGAAAAAAGAAAAAAGAATCAGCATTGCCTGTTTCCCAGGCAACACTTAGCTACACCTACTGTGCAACGAGCAGCTTTCCTGAGCTCTGAAAACAGAATGGACTTTGTGCATTCGTAAGGAAAAAGACACAATGCAACCGCATGACTCATAAGGCAACCCATTGTCAAGATGTACTTTCTCTTGTAAGACTCTGCACATAAAGCAAGGCTCATATGGCTTGGCTCATCCACAGAACATGCTCGTCACTCATCACACTCATCACACAAGGAAACTTTCACTGACCTCACCTACACCTTCTGGGCTGGGACAGGACCCACGCCTGAGGAACTGATGCTTCACTTCAACCCATGCTGCAGTCTGCCCAGCTCCTGACAAAACAGCTGACACTGCCCCCAACTCCCGGAGGACAGCCTAAGAAAGGGTCCGTTGTCCATGCAATCCCTTCTTGGCTTCTTCGAGAATGTCTGCCCTCCTGCTGCTAACTGACATTAGGGCCCCATCTTCCCCTCTCACTCCCTCTTTATCCCAAGACCAATAGCGATCCATGCTCATTGTGTACTTGTTCCCCTGGACATCCTTATGTCCCTTGCCACATTTCACTTGGCTAGAGGGATGGGTGGGAGCGCAGGGATAGTTGTCCTCATGGAATCCTCATTCAGGCGAATGTGTTCTAAACACTCCAATCAAGTGTTTAAAACTGCTCTTTCTCCACCCCCAACCCCCAAATGTAAAACTCAGACAAGTTGAGTGCACATAAAAATGCCAATCTCCCACCATTTTTGACATACGAAAATGTCAGTTTCATGTGTCATCCTCATCATAGGATGTCTTGGTTCTTTAGCTCTGTTCGTTCTAAAGTTCATCTTCTTAAGGAGTAGGAGACTATTGTGACCTGCCACTTTCCTCTGTCACTGTGTTACTATGGAAACAGGCTACTACTGACCACAAACAAATGTTGGAATACAACCCATTTAGAAGCTGGGAACTTCCTACAAAGGATGTTTTTTCCTGTGCAGGACAAGGCTGAGGATGGTATTTATTAGAATTACAGGCTAAAGAGACCACAAACAGCTTGCTTTGGATCTCCAGATATCCCTCTCAGCCTCCTGGTTCCAAAACATAATCATAATCTAAGGTGCTCTGATAATCTCAGGAGCCAGGTCATTCCAGGGAAAACTGGAACCACACATGCAATTCAACTCACTGACTGGGACAAAACCTCAGGGCTTACCTTGGGAGCAGGGTAAACCCTGACTTATCTAGGTGAGAGAGCTGTGGGAAGGTGAGGCTGAAACAGTGGTCCTTGACTGTGCCTGTCTGTTGGAATAACGTGTGGAGACTTAAAACTACCAGTGCCTGGGCATCTCCAGAAACTGCTTTCATTCATCTGGAGTCATTCCTGTTTATCCTTATTTTAGAAAACTCCCCAGGCAATGTTAATAAGTAGTCGCTTTTGAGAATCACTGTTCTAAAGGGTAGTCTAAAGACAAGAGAGCAATGTATGGGGTAAACACAAGTAGCATTTGTACGTTAAAATGTACTTCCAAAATGACCCTTGATCCAAAAGGCCACCCAAAGAGATGAAGCCAATGGTCAGAAGTCCAGGTGGTAGGTGCCTGGAGGCATGCAGGCTGCCAGAAGATCAGGAAGCCCCATCATATCAGAAAAAATATAGCCTTCTGTCATGAGACCACAGTCTTGGATTTGAATAAAACTCCATGACAAGGAAAGAGGCAGCAATGGGGGGTAGTAGGGGAAAGCTGGAAGTGAGACACAAAATTCTATCACTAAGAAAACTCTAAAGACGTGGCGAAAATCAACAAGAAGAAGCTATACTGACAAATATGAGGTGGTACCAGGACTCTGAAAGGTGAGGAAATTAATTCCAAATGCTAAGTTCTTCGCTCTGTCTTCCCTTCCCCCTATATTGGAATGTGGCTACAGCCTGGAGGCTTTACTAACTCATCTGTAGGGATAAGGACTTTAGGGACAAGAACCTGGCAAGTCTTTATGATTTTTCCCTCAAAATAAATAGCCTATCACCCCTTGGCTGCCATATCTAAAAGAGAAGTATTTCTCCTTTAAACTCTGCTCAGGACCTAATTCCTTCAAGAAATTTTCCAACCTAATGATGTAATTGATGGCTCACTTTCTCACCTCAGTGTGCAGTCATGTACAGTTGTACAGTTTGTACACTGCACCAAGGCACCCAACTGAGAGGGGAAGGAGACTAAGGTCAGGGGTCCTTCTGACCATGGACTTTCTCTAAATTGCAGGACATACTGTAGAGTGGGAGCAGCTCTGACAATGATGCTTGATTTATATCTATTCAAATATTTGTTTACTAAATCATTACTCTACTGACTGTACCTTTCTGCCAAAACAGAAGGATGAATGCAAAATTTTAAACACTTTACAAGGTATCCTGCAACTATTCTGCACACATATTTTCTTCCTAAAAACACTCATGCAAAAAAAAAAAAAAAATCCCATCAAATGCAGCAAGAAAAGCTGTGCTCTGCCCAGCCAATTTCATTCACTGAAGACAGCATAGAAAGGCATAAAGGCCCCTTGTTTTGCTATCTTTGTTTCCCATGTTCTGAGCAAAACTGCATAGGAATTATGAACAGTTAGCAAATGGTGTGGAAGTAATCAAAAATCAAACGACAACTCTATGAACAGAACCAGGCTGGCCCCGGTGAAGCCAGGCTGCTGGAATTCTGGAAGAAAAGTTAGGGAATCAAATTCTATCCCTGGCCCTGGCCCCAGTTCTCTGTTGACCTTTGCTTGCTCTCACATCCTCAGCCTCCCAGTGCACCCACAGCACTTTATGGCCCACGTTGCAGTGCAAAGCTCATACTTAAAAGACTCCGGACATCTTGGATGGAGGCCACGAAGTCTAATCAGTGCTGGGAGGCTTCCAATGAGTCTTCCTGGAGCCATTCTCTAAGGAATGCCTTGTTTGGACGTCAATCTTTGACTTAGTGGGATTCATGGGGGGAGACAGACATTCGTGACAGAATGACAGAACTTGAACAACAGTGCAGAAAAACTCAAGTAAAATGTGATTGTGTCTTCACAGAATAAATACATCCTGTACATGTAAACTGTTTGCTTGCTCTCTCTGCATCCCCATGCCTTCTTTTACCCCAGGCCTTACTCAACAGTAAACCTTTTAAGACCATGTGTTAAGTCCTGTGATTCCATCACATGCTGAAATGAAGATGTCCCAAATGATTCCATATGGACCCCAAAGGCCATTGCCTTTGTCTCTTTTCTGCACCAGAAAAAGCATGCCTACTATTTCAGACATCATATCATCTACTCTAGAGGTGTGGAAGTGGACCACTCCCAGCTGAGGAGGTTCTCTGGATAAACGTCCTGCCTGACTGGCTGGTTGCTCAGAGAATTATCTCCCATCTCTAACAATGAAGACATTTCCAAAGAGGGGGGGGCATGGGGGGGATGGAGAACTCACCTATTGAACTTGTGACATGTTGGGGTTCTGGCCTCACATCCATTTCTTTCTCCCACTCACTCACTGGAATGCTTTAATAATGTGCGGATTATTTAGACCAAATAGAAAAAAATAAGTTCCTGCTTAACATTAGGTGGAATTTTTGTTCTCACACCTGGCCCTCATCACCTCTCAGATGGGCCTGACTCGGAAACCCTGCTCGAATGATGTCCAACTCCAGCCCTGGGGGCACATTCTTCTAGACTGTTAGAGTACAGCACTGGGGCCAGGAGGAGGGCTGGACTTTGTTTTGTGTGTTTTGCTTTGTTTTGTTTTGCAAAGAACCAAATCTCTCTTTAATTCTAAATTGGTTTTCACCAAGAGCACCTGGAAGAGGCCACAGGTCTAAGAATCTGTGATACTACTGTCCTTCCTTCCATTCAGGTTACACCCTGCACCGCAGATTTAAGAGACTTAGAAGTCGAACCAAGTGACCAATTAAAGTCATTTCCAACTTGAAAATCTATATAATTTGAAACGTTTTCATCTAGTGAAAAGTGTTTCAAGTAAGGCCTCTTAGGTTTTTCTCCTCATAATTCACATTTAGCTAGGCTAGTTAAAATCAAAAGGAAAAAAAAGTTACAGAATCATATGCCTGTGTTATTATTCATAGGAAACTATAATTTGAAAACCTCAATCTCCTCCTTTGGGGATGACATATATAACATCTTTATACCTTAATTGTCTTTTTTTTTTTTTCATTTTCTTTTCATTTTTTCTTCTCCAGAAAAAGAATCCTCCAAGCAATAAACATAAAAGTAGAATATATTTAAGTTAACAGTGGTTATGCTTTACCCTATTCCTACAAAATTAAACGTGCAAATACATAAGAAGCCAGTGTTCAGGGCCACTGACTGGCTCTCCCTTTTACCCCAGTTAACAATAAGAATAAATCTAATTCAGTGGTTGTCAACCAGGAGCAATTTGTCCACCTCCCAAGTCCCCTCCCAGGGAGAATATCTGAGGAGTTTATCTGGGGGTATTTGGCAATATCTGGGTATGTCGAGAACAAAGTGGGAAAGAAACACAATGGACTGTGGCGGTGGACCTTGGCTGCTTTGGTGGTAATAACCTCTGAAGGGGAGGATTCTATACTCTCCAAAATACAAACAGTAAAGTAAGCTAACATTACCTCAATAAAAACAATTTAAATATATGGGAACATTTTGGTTATCACAAATGGAGTGGAGGGTACAGGTGCAATATATTAGCGTCTAGGGAGTAAATGCCAGAGATACTGCTAAATATCCTGCAATGCACAGGAACCCCCCACCCCCACCCCAACCACACACACAGAGAATCGTCCAGGCCAAAAGGTCAAAAATGCCAATATTGAGAAACACTAGTCTAGCTTTATGAATGCTTCTGGAAATACCAAGCCATTCATTTTCCACACAAAAGAGAAAATCACTTGTTCTTGTTATCAAATAGTAGACTCACTAATAAGCAAGCACAGAAATAGCAGTAAATACAAAGGTACTAGGTAAATTTGAGTGAGAAGATTAAAGAGGTGGGACTTGCAGTTTCTCCTTTGATAGAAATTGGCTGAGCTTCAGAGCGCTTTACCAGTCAGCCACTAAAGAGTGTTGCTGCCATCTAGAGGGTGAAGAGAGGATCCTCCAAAACCCTCATCTATAGCTCCAATGGTGCAAGATCCCCACATTCCTAACACTGAAAAGAAAAATGCTTTGAGTTTCACAGCAAATGACTGTTTGCAACTTTTTAAAAAAATATATGTGTGTATGTTAACATATATATTAATTATTCAGCATTCTCAGTGACTTCAGTTAATTGTTTTCTCTATTTTGCGTGTGTGGTATGAAACAGAAAGTCCACGTTTATGATGAGGAAGACAGGTGTTCAGTGGCTGTTTTACTCTCAAAACTATATGGGTGTGGGGAAGAGTAAACAATGTCCCTAGTACATTCTGATAGGATAGGGTCTATATTTTTTAAAGATTTATTTTCTTTATTCAAGAGCCAGGGTACAGGCTAGATGCGCGGGAGGGTGAGAGGATTCACCAGAGACAGAGCGGGGAACAGAACAGGCAGACTGACGAAATACAGTGCTGAGGGGAGCAGCGGGCAAGACAGGAGAGGTCTGCTCGCCGTGTGGGTTGCTCCGAGGCCGGCGGGGATCGAACCGGTGCTGCAGAGGCTACGGATAGCTTCACAGCGCTGTGCTCAACCACCTGCGCCACTAGGGAGGTCCCTGATAGGGTCACCCTTTTCTTTGGACTGTAACAAGACAATGATAAGTTCTAAGTAAATTATAAATCAAATCAAAATCAACAGGCAACTATAAACCAGAGACACACTACAGGGGGAATTTCCTTTTTTTTAAGTACGAAATTCCTAAACTTAATCTGA